CCGCCACAACGCCTGGCCATTTTTTGGTTGCAGCCATCATTGTTGTTTGGCGGGCCCGGGCTGGGGATTCAAACCCGCCACCTTAGGTGTATGTGGCTGTCGCCTTAGCCGCTTGAGCCACAGGCGCCGAGCCGGCTTTGTTCATTTTTATCTGCCTCCAGTCTTTCTTGTTACCTGGACCCAGATACGCACATGTGTATACACGTTCACTGAGTTTGACTCTACTTTGACATTTTGGTTATGTTGCTGGAAAAACTGGTCTCCTGAAAAGGGTTTTTTGTTTGTTTTTGTTTGTTTGTTAGTTTGTTTTTGAGATAGAGTCTCCTTATGTTGCCCTCGGTAGAGTGCTATGGCATCACAGCTGGGACTACAGGTGCCTGCCACAACACCCGGTTATTTTTTGTTGCAGTTGTCATTGTTGTTTAGCAGGCCCAGGCTGGGTTCGAACCGACCTTCCTTGGTGTATGTGGCCAGCACCCTAATCACTGAGCTATGGGTGCTGAGCCTCCTGGAAAAGTTTTTATTCTTACTTTGCAAAGAAGTTCTTAATTAACAGCATGGGATGCTCATTCCCTCCTGTGATTTCTTTAAGGATAGAACATGCAATGAAGTGAACCTGTTGAAATGATTGAAACAGTCCATGTATAAAGATAAATGTCTTTCCTTTCAGATAACAAAGAGATTTCTCAAAGTTTCTACAGAGAAGAACCAGATCAAACTACAAAGAGTAAGATATTTTCCCTGAAATGGAAAATTAATTCACTGTGTGTTTTTGTGTTAAATAGTAAGCAAAGACCTTTATGCTTCCTCTGGTGCAGTTTTTACTTTTTCCTCTGCTTTTTGTGATTGTTATTTTGATTCTTGCTTCCTTTCAGTTAGCTGGGTAACTTGGCTTCATTGCATTGTTTGTTTTTAGCTGCACTTAACCCAAAGGTTTTGCATGTAGTTTTTCTTAAGCTTTTATTAGTAGTAGTAGTGATATTACTACCACCTTAATAGCTGAACTTTCCATTGTAGTTTAAAATGGCCTTCCAGGGAACTTAGTTCTTTTCACTAAATCCTGGTACCGATGCCACAACTTCAGAGCTGGCCCCTTCCTAGATGGGTGATATTGTTTGGTGGCTCCTGGCTGAGTCTCTTAATCTGTTATTTAGAGTGTCACCACCTTTTTCTCACACAACAGTGCTGGGAAGCTTGTTACTTAAAGGCTTTCCCACCTCTACACCCCACCTGGGTTCACTGGGTATCCTCTTATGAGTTCACTCACCTTTTGTGGGTCAGATTTGAGGTTGGTTTTTCTACTTACAGTCTATCTCATTCCTTTTTTTTTTTTTTTTTTTT